CAACCACGACAAATTCTTAATTAATCTTACAAGCCAGCCACAACTCTAAATTTAGGCCGAGTCTATTAACAAAGGAACTTGCTCCAAAATATGCTCGCCACGATTAGCTTCCACAGCGCCTTTCCGGTATCTCGACAGTCGACTTGATGTGATGGGTCGAAGGGGCTAGTCCTCGCTGGCTCTGACTGGCTGAGCCCGCATGGTGAGTCCCAGACGTTGTGTGGCTCTTCCGCATCGAGTCACTCCTGTTCACTAAGTGAGCCCTTAGTCTATTGTAGATTGACTTTTGATTTCCAAATCATCTCTTTTTATACTAGTTTCTTTACTGGAGTAGAGGTAGAAAGGAAAATCAAAGTCGAGGTAGTTCCTACGTCATAGGTGAACCGGCAAAGACGGGTGTCGCCCACCTGATTGAGGCCACCACGATTTACGATGTTCCACGTCGCTACATACTTTTGACCTTATTTAGGGGTTAGGTTTCCCTTTTAGAGTTAGGTTTTCGAGGAACGTCACCTAGCTCCCGACTGTGCACCCTTAGACCAAATGTTTATTAATGTTTTCCCAATTGGTGAAGACGTCACGTTGATCCCGTCCGATGATCGCCCCTTCCGATTTATATCCTTTTTTTGTGGTAGTTTAAACTAATTTTTTGTTGTTCTTATTTCAACCACTACAACTTATTCTAAGACAAGGCTTACAATAATAAACTAATTTAGGATTGTTTTGTGTCTTGAATGAATGTATTTTTTAGCGTGACTGTTGAGTATGTACGGGTGAGTCGTGGCGGAATATCGAGTACCTTATGACCACTAAACTATGTTAGCTTTAGGTTAGGTGTTTTCGAAAGATTGGGGGAAGGTACGAGGGAAATATTAATACCTCAGTGGGTCCCCATTTTTTTAACTGTACATATGTACAAAAGGTTGTAATCAGTATCCTGTTTTTATTAATTTGAATGAGGGCGGGGCATCAACGGAATAACGAGTACCCTAAACCCGCCAAACTAAAGCCAGAAACACACTTACCCGATGCTACGCCATGCGACGCTAACCGATGCTACCCGACGCAAATCCAAACTCCGATTTTCCATAAGGTTGTATTACCCCCGTGCACATCTACCCGACGCTCTGCGATCCCCACTGTCCAGATTTTCGTAGGGTCGCGTCGAGTACAGTCGAAGACAAAAGAACGGGACACTCATAATTTTATTCAAACTTGTATTGTTTTCGTTATATTAATTACATCATACTTGTTTCAATATAAACCAAATTAATTGTGATTAAAAATTAATTAGTTTTTATTTAAAAAATTAATTTTAATGGTTTGGTAGAAAATTAATCAAAACACGGGAATACTATTTTTAGATATAATGAATTTTACTAACAATTTATTGTACTCGCTTCGGCGGTACGTATACTAAAATTGGATCAATTTATTACACGGTTTTGCTCATACAATTTAATTAACAATTTATTTCATAGTTTTGCTCGTAAAATTACACCATTTTCGTCGGGTGGCATCAGAACAGGACACTCATATTTGTTGTAGTTCATTTCAAACTAAGTTTTCTCGTTATATTAATTACAACATGTTATTTTAATGTAAACCAAATTCATAAGTTTTTATAAACATTGTTTAATTATGATGGTTAGGAGTAACTTTATTTAAAACAATTAAGTTTAACAAACAATTTATTAGATGGTTGTGCTCATAAAATTTAACTAACGAATTATTACAAGGTATTGCTCAAAATAGTGCATTACGAACAAAAGATGCGTTGCGATTGTGATCGTGATTATTGTGACAAACGGTGTGGACTGAACGCGACGTGTGCTTGCGTCGGATAGATGTGCACACCCCACCAAAACGTGGCAAGGCGTCGGGTAGCGTCGCATGGCGTAGCATCGGGTAAGTGTGTTTCTGGCTTAAGGCTAGGCTATGCATGAATATTTAGGTATGCATCAGTTGTAGAGCCTTTTCTGCTTTCTCATTCACATAATTCAGCCTTCTTCGGCTTGGGAGCAAAGCAGAACCACGTACTTGTAACCATGTACTTTAAATTCGTTGTACATGCCTAATATAAAAATTCAAAAGTAGTGGCTGCAGGGCTACTCGGAGTCGAAGACCGACTGCAAAACTCTTCTTTTTTTTAAAGTCTTTTCTCTTCTGAACCACATTCTGGATGACAGAGTATAACTTGACAGAAAACAACATGCTGAATTGTTGGTTGAAGAAAACTTTTCTAGTGCTGCCTGCACCTGAACCATATCCATCTATGCACTTATGTTTGTTTGCACGAACAATCGCATGCTGGTTGAAACAGTCAACATTTCCTAGGGCTCAATAAGCTCTATTTCTACCGTCTGAATAGATGTTCAAAACATAGTTATCATCAAGCAATGGTCTTCGAGACGAGTAAAACCTGTTTTCGGTACTGTTGTATGAATTATTTTGAGCACTATGACAAATTAAATTTTCTCATTTTGTAAGTGTAGGGACGATGTTATCGATTATATATGCGGTCTCTGCAGTCTCGTACGAAATTGTTTAATAAACTTTTAATGACTCCGATGTGTGTGTGTGTGTGTGTGTGTGTGTGTGTGTGTGTGTGTGTGTGTGTGTGTGTGTGTGTGTGGGCGCGCGCGCGTGCGTAAAAGGAAGTAATTCGATTATTGCACAAAAACACGGAACAATGCAGATTATTTACAGTTTTTGTTCACGTGCCAGTTCAAGCAACTGTTGCCAGGCCCGTTCTTGGGGATCTTTTATAAGCGGCAAAACGGAAGGGCGAAAAAACCGCGACAGTCTCGTCAGGCGCAAAGGCTATTAATCTACCCTGGCAATTAGTTTTTAATTGAGGGCACATTTTTTTATGTTGTTCCTAAGGCCGCCGAAGGGGAGGATTTAGACGAATCGAAATAAAAAAGACCCGAGAAAAAAGCCACAGTATAATAAATTAAAAAAGGCCGCTACTTTACATAAGGGCTGCTACTTATATCCGACAGTCTAAAACCAATAAATGAATTTTCTTAATCGCCGGCTTTTTCTCAAGGACAAAAATTTTCAGAATGTCGACCTGAAATCACGTATTCCTTCACAATTTCCTACGTAATGCAGTTTCACTGTACTGACAGAGTAAAAAGCAGGTGCAGGGGAAAATGTAGTTAGAGAGTGTTCGGAGTGTGATTTGCCCGGAGTGTGAAGAAAATTATCTCAAAAAGTAAAGTGAGACATATAGTGGAATTCCTCGTCATATGCGGGTATACTAAGATTTTTATATAACGATTTTTATATAAACAAGGTTGTTGTAGTTCGTTTCAGACTGTTTGAAAGATATATTTAATAAAAAAATTGCCAGAGGAAGAGATCTTTCGTTATAATTATTAACAAAAAGGCTGCAGAAACAGCAAAATTTGTTTTCCATATAAATGGTTTATATCACTATTTTATCACATCGTTCATGGTATTGAGCACCCGATGATGGTCTCTGTCTACGTCCATGAAGCTGCCTATATTTTATGCAGGAAAATATCTAGAAGTGGGAAAAAGAAAGCAGGGCGTAATCGACACGATGGTCCCCAATGTCGCAGAAATAGGATTCTATTTCTCTGGGGGAAGGACGAACCCGGTACATTTTGTAGGCTGAGGAAGGAGCACAATCGGCCCAACCAACCTCTTTAATACGTGGTGCAAATACGATCCGTCGGCATAACATTAGATCAAAAGCTCAGATGGCAACCACATATCGTAGAAACTGAAGTCCAGTGGAAAAGGGCATCAACCTCCTCACGTATCTATCAAACTTCAAATGGGGTGTAAAGAAAAAGTGAGAGAGGAGGGAGGGAAGAAAGGAGAGAGAGAAAGAGAGAGAGAGAGAGAGAGAGAGAGAGAGAGAGAGAGAGAGAGAGGTATTGCTGACCCCATTCCAAGTCATCAAGAAACGTGACACACCACCAATGTGTACAAAAGCATAGTTGTACTATATAGTAGCAAGTTCCATGCCTTGATGACGAAGTACCCTAACGCTAAACCCATCTTTACAGAAGGAGTCAAAGGCACCCGATGGTGTGGGCTGCGCTGTATACATAGAAGTATACACCGCGGAATCGAATGCCTCATACTGAGCGCAATATATCGAAAACAGGAAAAAATCTTTATAATATGCACGGGAATTAAGAAATAGACGAAGTGGCTAAAGATGCCGCATGAGCGAACGGCCACCCTATCCTGTCCGCCGAGTGGTATGATTAATGAAAAATAATATAAAAGAATAATAGGAAAATCGCTGAGCACAGTCTTCTTCAAATTACGGCAGCTAAAGCATGCGCATTGGTCCCTGGACCCTCGTCCACGAAGACCGGGTCGAGAGGTAGGCTAGGCTTACACATGTGTACTTGCTGCCGAGAAAGAGATCTCGTCGTTGTACCAACGTGTTTTTGGGTTGCAAGTAATTTCGAATAATCTACACTCCTCCCTCATTCTACACACACACACACACACACACACATATATAAATATACATTTTCCTCTCTTTTATATATAATTGACTATATTTGAATATATACTATTTCCTAATACAAACTCATTAACCTAGCAGAATAAACCTATTTTTGCTTAAACGGAAAAGAAGATTAATTTAAATAAGGCTATAATAACCTTTCCTCTTTTCCCTAGTCAGACAAAACCTTTAACCCTATAGCAGTATGGGCCTCTCAACTAATTCGTAAAACGTATTTGTAATGCAAGTTTGGTTAATGCTAAAGGTTAAATAGTATCGGAAATCATATATTGAATAATGTTAGTATGTTGTAAGTTGTAAGGAAAGTCTATCGTCGTCGAGTCCTACATGGAACAGTTGACCTCAATTTTTATTCCTATGGTTCGTTTGAAGTTTCCAGCTCAATTAGGGATCGCCCGGGGTTCCCAAATTTCATTTAGCTAATTGCCACAACTTAGTTGTTTACTATCTCTCACTCGCACGCCATGGAATAAGTACTTACCGGTTCGCCGTTAATGAACCACATAAGCTGCGTAGCCGGTTTTGAAAGTCCGGAGGTACATTTGACGGAGACGGTGTCACCGATTTGGTAGCGCGGCTTTCCACCGCTTATTCTCGGTCCTTCCTCCGGCATAGCTGTGAACAACGAAAAAGACATTAAAATGTTAAAACGATTAATAAAACCCGGCGACTATTGCTAATTGCTTTAATTATTCTTTATTGCACGTCAAACTCGGGTGTGCACGCAGTACTCAGACCCGAAATATTTGCCACCCCGAAGTGTAAATTTACCGCCTTGCATATACAATTAAAAAAACACAATTCTTCTACAAATGTCGTTATTTCGGTTTCTATTAATATAAAAAACTTTTGAAATATGTTATGATTATCATTGTGGTAACAGCCGTGCACGATTCCAAGCACATTTTTTTAAATAATCTTCAGGGCCTGGGATTTATAAACATAGTTTAAATTTTACAGATACATGTAGGATCTGGAAAAAATGAATTTATACAATGCTAGAAAATTTTAGATTAAAACAAAATGAATTTATACGATGCTAGACAATTTTTAGATTTAATAAAAGAATGAATTTATACAATGCTAGAAAATTTTAGATTAAAAAAATGAATTTATACAATGCTAGAAAATTTTAGATTAAAACAAAATGAATTTATACAATGCTAGACAATTTTTAGATTTAATAAAAGAATGAATTTATACAATGCTAGAAAATTTTAGATTAAAACAAAATGAATTTATACAACGCTAGAAAATTGTAGATTAAAAAATGAATTTATACAAGGCTAGAAAATTTTTGATTCAATCAAAGAATTTGTACTCACTCAAAGCGTTATTCTAGCATTGTATGAATTCATTTTTTTAATCTAAAATTTTCTAACGTTGCATAAATTCATTTTTTTATTCAATCTAAAAAATTTCTAGCATTGTATAAATTCATCTTTTTCCACATCCAACATGTATTTGTTAAATTTACACAATGTTTGTAAATCCCAGCCCCTGAAGATGATCTCAATAAAGATCGAAATGTTGGCATGATAAAAAAAAATGTTTTTCTAAAACCTACGCCACACCAGACCGCACCTCACGATCTCCAAATAATCATTGGCTAACGGTCACTAAATACCACTTAAATCACCAGCTTTTACTACGATGTTGATAATGATTCGGGTTGAGGTCTTCAAAACATACAATGGTATTATAACTACCGACTTAACTATATTCCTATGTCTCTGTAGATCCCCTGAAGAAGACAATAAAACTTGTCGAAAACTTGGGTGGGTATTGATATAATACCATTGTATGTTTTGAAGACCACAACCCGAATCCTTTTAAACTTTTTTGAAATTAAATGTCATTTTTTATATTTATGCTATTCACAAGTCACCAATATTTTCAAATACAATTTAAAATCAAGAAATATTCCTCGATTATCTTGAAGTCGTTTCAATTTATTAAATTAGGATAAAAAAGTTTATTTTCCAATCCGCCACTTATTTGGCCGTTTTTAATAATATTATAATTCATTAATTTAAATAATATCCATAAATTAATAACGATACAACATTGTTGTAATTTTGATTTTGCTGAATATCCCGATTTGAATAAATCTCGAGTTTAAATAAATCATTGCAGTGAATTGAAATATGAATATTTTAAAAATAATTGTACTTTACTAAGTGCTAAGTGGATCACATTGAACCATATTAGTTTAGTATGCAAGAATCACTTGGTAGTATCGTAGTACTTGGTCTGGATAATGACTTCAATTAATTCAAAGGGATTAAAACGATTTAGTAGAATCAACATTAGATTAATTAGTTTTATTGTTTATAGAGTAATTTGGGCAGAAATCATGTTTACTTTTCCATTGATTTTTAATTTTATTTCGTTTTTCTTTATTAAATTTTATTTAGTTTTATATTTAATTTTTTATGTTTAAAGTTAATAATGTTTGTAAAAATGATTAATTAATAAAGGTATGATTTCTTAATTAAACCAAGACTGCCAGCAATGCGCCATTATAACCAATGAAAGGTCACCAATGAAGAATCTTTCCGATTTGTGTTCCATCGTTAAAAGCTTTCGTAACATTCCAAGCACAAAATTGAAAAGTAACATTGTACACTAATTCACTACTTTCGTGGTCCGCTTGACCAATTAATACATGACAATTAATTAAGGTATTTAGTTGAGATGAAAAAAGTTAATGGCACGAGAGGGATTCGAATGAAAAAATGGCAAAATGGAGGGAAAACTCATAAGGTGGGGTTGAGATGGGGAGTTGATGTCCGAGTGGATTCACGATAGCTCAAGTGGTAGAGCAGCGGCGTATCTAGCCGAAGGTCGTGGGTTCGAATCCCTCTCGTGCCATTAACTTTTTTTCATCAGAACTAAAAACCTTAATTAATTGTCATTGTACACTAATTTGTACATTTATTGATAGAACTTAGAAAAAATCTAATCTTATTAAACTGCAATAAATAGATTCAAATTATTAAATTTATTCTAACATACAAACAATTGTAATCTATCTATATAAAAGTGAATGTTCGTATGTGTGTTAATAAAAACGAAAACTACGGAACCGATTTCGATGAAACTTTGCACTATGTTTGTACTAGTGCGGGCGGGTTCAAAGAATATAAAATGGGTACATAAATAATGGGCGTCAGGATTTAGAAAAACGAAAAATTTCAGGAATTTCTGGCGTCCATTTTCACTCCTGTTGTCACAGGTGTTAGCTGTCCAGACGGGCCTTCAGCTCACGGTATAATACACGTTCCCCGGGTCTTTCAAATTTTGATTTGAAGGCGCTAACAGTTAATAGACGCAAAAACTACTGAATCAGTTATATGTGTGATTAGTGACCGTTAATCGATAATTATTCAGAAATTGTGAGATGCGGTCTGGTGTGATGTAGGTTTCAGAAAAACATTTTCTTTACCCTGCCAACGTTTCGATCTTTATTGAGATCTTCTTCAGGGCTCAAATTGTTTGTCTTCTGTGTAGTTGTGCCATTCTTGCGTGTCGGCACTCTCAACACGACACGCAAGAATGGCACAACTACACAGAAGACAAACACTTTGAGCCCTGAAGATGATCTCAATAAAGATCGAAACGTTGGCACGATAAAGAAAATGCTTTTCTGAAACCTAAATACGCCAGACCGCATCTCATGATTTCTGAATAATGAATTAGTTATAATTGCAAAACTACTGATACAACATAGTTGCAAGAACTGCACAATTGGTTTCACTGATGTAAAGGTAGGAAGATACAAACTTCATCGTTGCGTCTTTACTATAGGCAGCTGTGGTGAAGGCAGGAAAACGAACTACCGGTGTGTTGCGTGACCGACGACCGTTCTACCATGCCAAACCATCAGAATTGAGAAAAGTGCTCCAAGTGAACGTTTATTTAGTAAGTAATACATTTTTCATACTTATAAAAATAAATGGGCAATCGATCCCGTTATTTAAGGCCATGAATAGTAAATTAAATTTGTTATTATATATAAAAATATGTGCCAAATTGAATAAAAATGTACACAAATTATTCAGTCGATCTACTTTACTTTTGAAATTATTTTTATTTATAATTAAATTAAACATTTCAGTCGGAATTCATTTCATATTAAAATGTTTCCATCCTGTAGGTGTTTAATGAAATTCGCAAACGACATTCCTACAAATGTCTTCTTGAGTTCCCCGCGTTTTCCATGTTCCTGGATATGGGAAAACAGATTTAAACATGATTAATGCAAACTCATGACTTACCGTTAAAAGGACCCTTTCAAGAAAAGATTGGTAACGTTTGGGGAAATATTCGTCAAACAAGATGAACATTTGAAAACCCGGAGATTTGGATCGCTTCATTTAAGCAGTGTTCGTTTGAATCGACAAAAGGGAATTGTTTGTTGATGTGAGGAGCTGTCAAGAATGAAGTATTTTAGAAAAACACATTTTTGCCAACGTTTCGTCCTTATTTGGGTCATCTTCAGATCCTGAGTGAATTACAAAACATATGTTGATTACAAAAAAATACAATATACATGTCAATATAAATTTTGAACCAATTATTTCATACTCACATAAAGTGTGGTGTCATATTCATTTTACGTTAAATTTTTGCGAAACGTGAATTTGTATTCTGCTGTTTTTATATGAATGTGACACGGTGGGGGACGCGATAAATCTGGAGAGAAATTTTTTTCACCCAGGCCTTGAAGATGACCCGAATAAAAGTCGAAACGTCGACAAATAAATGAAGAAGGTGTTTTTTTCTAAAATACTTCATTCTTGACCACTCATCACGACATCAACAAATTATTGAACCACTAAAAATACACACTGTAGCAAATTGATTACAGAATTTCTTATATATGAAAATAAGCTTACCCTGCCTTGCCTTAATTGATTAAATATATTTATGGTAATTGGAGATTAAATTCAGAATTACGGATATTCGAATATTGCTTTGTAAAATGCCTTCCGATTTCAAAAAGTGGGACGTCTGGGTTTTCAATTTATTGCTCCTAAAAGCCAAATCACCAATATTTTCAAGGAATCTTATATAAAATGTAAGATTTTACGCCGTATCGGCTGGCGATCGACCTGGTGCTGGGTCTGCTAGGAATTGTTTTTACGCCTATAAAGTTAAACCATTTCTGAGGCAGTAGCAATAAAACAGTATCGGTTAGAAGGGTTCATTTAGACAAGGAGAGAAGACCATTCATTGGCGGATGGGGTTTAGACCAATCCGAACGGCCGTTTCCAAAGCCCTTTTAAGGTGCCGTCTTAAACTTGGATTCAATTAAGGGCTGCCATTACCCTTTTCGAGGGTTACTAGAATTTAAAACGTGTCGAATTAACGAGAAAAGAAATTCTCCGCTTCCTTGATGGGACGCGACTGGGTCAAAAGATCTTTGGCAAAATTTCAACTTCGCTAATATAATAAGCGATGAGCTTTCTTTATCGTGAGAGAATACGTTTATTTGAAAATAATTTAGGATTTTTCTTCTATGTAAAATACATTACACAATATCAGCATTTTCTTACTTCTAACCAAAATTTTATTACAATCACCCTCACTCTCAAAAATTTAAGAACGTC